ATCCAAAAAAAGATAACAACCTAAAAACAAAGAGAGAAATAGTGTGGGAAAAATTTCAGGAGTGCCACTAATCTGAATGAACACAAAAGGATCCATTCGGGTGAAAAGCCATATAAATGCGCAGAATGTGGGAAAAGCTTTAGGTGGAGCAGTTGCCTTACATCCCATAGAAGGATCCACACGGGGGAGAAACCGTACAAATGCACAGAGTGTGGAAAGGACTTCCGGAGGAGCTGTTCTCTCACTACTCATAAAAGAATTCACACAGGGGAGAAACCATACCAATGTACTGAGTGCGGAAAGAGTTTCACTACGAATAGTAGCCTGACTTCTCATAAAAGAATTCACACCGGTGAAAAGCCATATACCTGCCTGGAATGTGGGAAGACTTTCCGCAAGAGTTACAACCTTACTTGCCATAAAAGGGTACACATGAGATATAAACCATGTTAATATTTTGGATGAAGGGGACAGAACCTTAGCCACAGCAGTCGTCTTCAGATTTACACCAAGGAGAACTTGTATAACTGCATGGAATGTGGAAAGAGCTTCAAAATGTAGAAAGATCTGATAAATTGCTCTAAACCAGGGGTATCAAACACATCCTTAGGAGCAGGTGACTTTTGGCCCGAATTTGGGGGAGGGGGAATCTAAGTGGGTGAAATTCAAAAATGTTTACTACCTGTTCAGAAAGAAAAAAAAATACCAACTTTATCATTTTCCATTTGTTATTTCTAATTTCTATATGTAGCATATATCATCATGCTCAATTTTAATATAACAAGCATTTTACTTAATTGGTTATCCACACTATATATCATAAGCAGTATCAACATATTTCATTTTCTTCTAGTATCTCTTTTTTACCTTCCGCCTTACCTAACTTTTCTCTTAACTCATCTCTTGCTCTATTTTTCTTCAGTTTTCTGTTTGTCCTTCTATCTTCTACTCTTAAATTCCCTTCCCCCGCTTTCTTTTTCCTTTTGTATGTATTATATCTTTTCTTCTGAATTTCCCATAACATTCTTCCACAACTATATTTTGAACACTTGGATTCCTCTTTTTTACTCCCCACTATTTCTCTCTTTGTTTTTAGGTTGTTATCTTTTTTTGGATAGCATTTTCCTTTTTTCTCCCTGCTCTTTTTGTGTCTCTATAAGTCTCATTAAGATTGTCCAGTTGGTTATTGTTTTCAGGTTCCCACCTCACCCCCCAATGTTAGTCATTTGCCTCTCATTTATATTTCCCTTTATCAATTTCTCTCCTACATCCTGTTCTATGTATTTCAATACAATAGCAGAGTTGGAAGGGACCTTGGAGGTCTTCTAGTCCAACCCCCTGCGTAGGCAGGAAACCCTATACC